ACACAGCACCAACACACATACAGCACCCACACACATACACAGCACCAACACACATACAGCACCCACAGACATACACAGCACCTCCACACATACAGCACCCACAGACATACAGCACCCACAGACATACACAGCACCAACACACATACAGCACCCACAGACATAAACAGCACCAACACACATACAGCACCCACAGACATACACAGCACCAACACACATACAGCACCAACATACATACACACCAACACACATACACAGCACCCACACACATACAGCACCCACAGACATACACAGCACCCACACACATACAGCACCCACAGACATACACAGCACCCACACACATACAGCACCCACAGACATACACAGCACCTACACACATACAGCACCCAAACACATACATAGCACCAACACACATACAGCACTGCACACACATAGCAGCACGCCTACAGACATACACAGCACCTACACACATACAGCACCCCACACATACACAGCACCTACACACATACAGCACCCACACACATACAGCATCCACAGATATACACAGCACCCACACACATACAGCACCCATAGACATACAGCACACACACACATACAGCACCCACACACATACACAGCACCAACACACATACAGCACCCACACACACATACAGCACCCTCACACACAGCACACAAACAGCACCCTCACACACACACACAGCACACTAATAGTACCCTCACAAACACAAACAGGACCCTAACAAGCACACACACAGCACACTACCAGTACCCTCACACACAAACAGCACCCTCACAAGCGCACACACACAAACACCCTCACCCACATAGCACACTACCAGCACCGTCACACACACATCACACTAACAGCACCCTCACACAGCACACACAGCAGTGTGTGTATGTGTGTGTATATATATATATATATATATTTTTATATATATATATATATACACATATATATATACATACATATATATATATATATGCGGCGTGTGCTTGTGCTTTAGGGTGCGCACGCCTATGAAGGGAAGTGGAACAAAGTGACACACAAGATATGTGGGAGGCAACGCTGGGCTGGGGGAAAAAGAGACAGAGAGTGGCTGGGAGAAGAGAAAGAGGCACACAGAGTCTGGAGTTAGAAAGAGACACACAGATTTGATTTGGAAGGGGAGAAAGAGACAAAGGGGCTGGGGCTAAGACTTAAACAAAGGGGGCTGCGGGAAAGAGACATGCAGAGGCTAGAGAAAGGTAAAAAGAAACACACAGGGGCTGGGAAGAAGTAAAATATACACAAGGGTCGCTGTAAGAGAAAAAAAGGAGACAATTGGAAACAAGATACACTAAACGAGGTAAACGTAATAGATGTAAATTGATGTGATCCTGACAGTAATACACATATATTTATATATATGCATGTATATTGATGTGTGTATTAGTAACATATCATTATGCCTATAATATTTACACATATAGTAATAGACATTTATATATGTATAATACACACATAAATGTAATATATATATATATATATATATATATATATATATATGTAATGAGTACGTAATGGCCCAGTCTTGTTGCTAGTTGCATACTCATGCACAATAACATATTCAAAGTGAAGAGCGCACCCATAGGACTTCAAAATGAACAAGATAACTTCAATTTTTTCATTTGTGCAACCGCATACATTCACCATTTCAGTCACGTTACTAAAATGTCCTTAATAGGCCAAAATAGTTGTACTGAAACATTGATTACATGCAATTGTATGTCTGCTTAAAATAAAGGCGCTTTTTTGTTTAATTTGAAGCCCTATATGCATTCTTTCGTTGGAGTAATAGTTTTCAGTTTTATTTTTTCACCCTCTATATCAGCACACTATGCTGGCGCAACGCATTATTGGGCTGGTATGGAATTTTTTTCCAGGGCTGCTTTTAGTTCCCAGTCCGGCCGTGGTTGGGGGAGCAGGGGCACTATAGGGGTAGATGGGGGCACTGTAGGGGTATACGGGGAACAGGGGCACTAAAGGGGTAGATGTGGGGCACTATGGGGTAGATGGGGAAGAGGGGCACTATAGGGGTAGATGGGGAACAGTGGCACTATAGGGGTAGACGGGGAACAGTGGCACTATAGGGGTAGATGGGAGAGCAGGTGCACTATAGGGGTAGATGGGGGCACTATAGGGGTAGAATGGGGAACAGCACTATAGGGATAGATTGGGGGCACTACAGGGGTGGTTGGGGGCACTATAGGGGTAGATGGGGAACAGGGGCACTATAGGGGTAGTTGGGGGGAGCAGGGGCACAATAGGGGTAGATAGAGGGAGCATGGACACTATAGGGGTAGATGGGGGTACTATAGGGGTAGATGGGGAACAGGGGCACAATAGGGGTAGATGGGGGCGCAGTGGCACAATACGCATAGATGGGAGAGCATGGGCACTAAAGGGGCACTATAAGGATAGATGGGGAACAGGGGCACTATAGGGGTAGATGGGGGCACTATAGGGATAGATGGGGAACAGGGGTACTATAGGGGGAGCACTATAGGGGAAGTTGGGGGAGCAGGGGCACTATAGGGGTAGATGGGGTACTATATGAGTAGATGGGGAACAGGGGCACAATAGGGGTAGATAGGGGGAGCATGGGCACTATAGGGGTAGATGGGGGCACTATAAGGATAGATGGGGAACAGGGGCACTATAGGGATAGATGGGGAACACTATATGGATAGATGGGGAACACTATGGGTATAGATGGGGAGATGGGGTACTATGGGAGGGCAGGGCACTGTAGGGGTAGAGGGGGCACTATAGTGGTGGAAGGGACACTATAGGGATAAATGGGGAACAGGGGTACTATGGGGGAGCAGTGGCACTCTAGGCGTAGTTGGGGGAAGCAGGGGCACCAAAGGCAGCAGCGTACATACCCCGGTCTCAGGGGCCGCATATGGAGGGGTCCATCGGGTGGCCCATGCTGTCAGGGCCCCCCAATGGATATGGATTGTCAGGGGGCCCGGTCAGCATTGGGCGCTTTAACAACGCTGACCGGGCCCCCTGTGATGATGTCAGAGAGAGCTGGGAGGAAGTGACTGCACGTCACTCCTCCCAGCTAACACTGAGAGCCGCGCGGGAGGACGGAGGAGGGAGTCAGAGTGGGAACTCTAACTCCCATCAGGCTGAGCCCATACTGGACCCCAGGGAAGTCACCCTCCTGCAAAAGGTAGGAAACAGGAGGGTGACAAACATTTTGTATGTGTATGTCTGTATGTATGTCTGTGTCTGTCTGTATGTATGTGTCTGTATGCATGTGTGTGTGTGTCTGTGTCTGTATGTATGTGTGCATCGCTGTGCATGTCTGTCTGTGTGTCTGTCTGTGTATCTGTCTGTGTGTATGTGTCCTTACAGGGAGTGCAGAATTATTAGGCAAGTTGTATTTTTGAGGATTAATTTTATTATTGAACAACAACCATGTTCTCAATGAACCCAAAAAACTCATTAATATCAAAGCTGAATATTTTTGGAAGTAGTTTTTAGTTTGTTTTTAGTTTTAGCTATGTTAGGGGGATATCTGTGTGTGCAGGTGACTATTACTGTGCATAATTATTAGGCAACTTAACAAAAAACAAATATATACCCATTTCAATTATTTATTATTACCAGTGAAACCAATATAACATCTCAACATTCACAAATATACATTTCTGACATTCAAAAACAAAACAAAAACAAATCAGTGACCAATATAGCCACCTTTCTTTGCAAGGACACTCAAAAGCCTGCCATCCATGGATTCTGTCAGTGTTTTGATCTGTTCACCATCAACATTGCGTGCAGCAGCAACCACAGCCTCCCAGACACTGTTCAGAGAGGTGTACTGTTTTCCCTCCTTGTAAATCTCACATTTGATGATGGACCACAGGTTCTCAATGGGGTTCAGATCAGGTGAACAAGGAGGCCATGTCATTAGATTTTCTTCTTTTATACCCTTTCTTGCCAGCCACGCTGTGGAGTACTTGGACGCGTGTGATGGAGCATTGTCCTGCATGAAAATCATGTTTTTCTTGAAGGATGCAGACTTCTTCCTGTACCACTGCTTGAAGAAGGTGTCTTCCAGGAACTGGCAGTAGGACTGGGAGTTGAGCTTGACTCCATCCTCAACCCGAAAAGGCCCCACAAGCTCATCTTTGATGATACCAGCCCAAACCAGTACTCCACCTCCACCTTGCTGGCGTCTGAGTCGGACTGGAGCTCTCTGCCCTTTACCAATCCAGCCACGGGCCCATCCATCTGGCCCATCAAGACTCACTCTCATTTCATCAGTCCATAAAACCTTAGAAAAATCAGTCTTGAGATATTTCTTGGCCCAGTCTTGACGTTTCAGCTTGTGTGTCTTGTTCAGTGGTGGTCGTCTTTCAGCCTTTCTTACCTTGGCCATGTCTCTGAGTATTGCACACCTTGTGCTTTTGGGCACTCCAGTGATGTTGCAGCTCTGAAATATGGCCAAACTGGTGGCAAGTGGCATCGTGGCAGCTGCACGCTTGACTTTTCTCAGTTCATGGGCAGTTATTTTGCGCCTTGGTTTTTCCACACGCTTCTTGCGACCCTGTTGACTATTTTGAATGAAACGCTTGATTGTTCGATGATCACGCTTCAGAAGCTTTGCAATTTTAAGAGTGCTGCATCCCTCTGCAAGATATCTCACTATTTTTGACTTTTCTGAGCCTGTCAAGTCCTTCTTTTGACCCATTTTGCCAAAGGAAAGGAAGTTGCCTAATAATTATGCACACCTGATATAGGGTGTTGATGTCATTAGACCACACCCCTTCTCATTACAGAGATGCACATCACCTAATATGCTTAATTGGTAGTAGGCTTTCGAGCCTATACAGCTTGGAGTAAGACAACATGCATAAAGAGGATGATGTGGTCAAAATACTAATTTGCCTAATAATTCTGCACTCCCTGTATGTGTGTGTCTGTCTGTATTTATGTGTCTGTGTGTGTCTCTGTATGTATGTGTCTGTGTGTGTGTCTCTGTATGTATGTGACTGTGTCATACAGACACATACATACAGAGACACACACAGACACATACATACAGACAGACACACACATACATACAGACAGACATGCATAGAGACGCACACATACATACAGACACACACATACAGACTGTATGTGTATGTGTCTCTGTATGTATCTGTGTGTATGTGTGTCTGTATGTATGTGTCTGTGTGTGTTTCTGTATGTATGTGTCTGTGCCTATGTATGTATCTGTGTGTATGTGTGTGGGGGGAGAGGGCACGGATGGGGGCCCACGGATCAGCTTCGCACCGGGGCCCCATGTATTGTGTGTATGCCACTGACTATAGAGGTAGATAGGGGTAATATAGTGGTAGATGGGGAACAGGGGCACAATAGGTGTAGACAGTGGCGTACACATGACCCATGGGGCCCCGGTGCGAAAATTGATCCGTGGGCCCCCACCGCGCGCGAGCCGGGCCGCAACACATGGCGGTGGGCACCTGGTCGCAGGGGTTACAGGGTTGCGACCCCTGCGACCGCGGTATGTACGCCAGTGCATGCAGATGCACACACACTTAAAGGACCACTACAGACACCCAGATCACTTTAGCTCAATGAAGTTGTCTGGGTGTCAGGTCCCTCTAGTTTTAACCCTGCAGCTGAAAACATAGCAGTTTCAGAGAAACTGCTATGTTTCACTGAGGGTTAATCCAGCCTCTAGTGGCTGTCTCACTGACAGCCGCTAGAGGAGCACACTGAACGTCCATAGGAAAGCATTGAGTAATGCTTTCCTATGGGCGGTTTGAATGCGTGCGCGGTCGCATTCGGAGCTGAGAGGCTGAGGGATCCCCAGCGCCAAGGGAGTCCGGCGCTGGAGAAAGGTAAGTGCTGAAGACACACACACACACACACACACACTTACAAACGCATACACACTAGCTAACAGACACACACATTTACTGACAGAGACACACTCAGCGACAGACATACATACACACTCACTTACAAAACATACACTCTCATTGACAAACACGCACTCACTAACAGACATCAAAGACTCACTGACACTCACTAGCAGACACACACACTAACACTCACACACACTAACACTCACTAGCAGACACACATACTAACACTCACTCACTCTAACACACACACTAACACTCACTAGCAGACACACACACTAACACTCAAACACTCACTCTAACACACACACTAACACTCCCTCTAACACTCACTCTAACACACACACTAACACTCACTAGCAGACACACACACTAACACTCACTCTAACACTCACTCTAACACTCACTCTAACACACACACTAACACTCACTCTAACACTCACTCTAACACACACACTAACACTCACACACACACACACACTCACACATGTTTTTTTTTTATTTTTTTTTTATTTAATCCCCCCAGCCTCCTTACCTTTTGGAGTGCTAGGGGGATTCCCTGGGGTCCAGTGGTGCTGCTGACCCCAGCTGGCGGGTGGCCGGTCGAGCAGGAAGGCGGGCGCGCGAGGGAGCACTCAGTGCTTCCTCTTCAGCTCCCTCGCGCGCCGCGTAGGGATGCCGGCGCCGGAAGATGACGTCATCTTCCGGCTCCGGTATCAGTGCGGTGCGCGAGGGAGCTGAAGAGGAAGCACTGAGTGCTCCCTCGCGCGCCCGCCTGCCCGCCCGGCCACCGCCTGCCCGGTGACAGCAGGGCCAGCCTCGGGGGGCCCTGGGGTGGTCGGCTCCTGGGCCCCCCAGGGGAAGAGGCTGGCCCTGGACGTACATACCAGGTCGCAGGGGCGGCCGGGCCCCCTGGTGGGCCGGGCCCGGTCGCAGCCGCGACCCCTGCGACCCTGGTATGTACGCCACTGGGTGTAGATAGGGGGAGCATGGGCACTATAAGGGTAGACTGGGCACTAAAAGGATAGATGGGGAACAGGAGTACTATAGGGGGAGCAGGGGCACTATAAGGGTAGAGGGGGGAACTATAGGGGTAGATGGGGAACAGGGGTACTATAGGGGGAGTAGGGGCACTATAAGGGTAGAGGGGGGAGGTCTGGGAGGGGTAGATGGGGAACAGGGGTACTATAGGGGGAGCAGGGGCACTATAGGGATAGATTGGGAACAGGGGTACTATAGGTGGAGCAGGGGCACTATGGTCTCACTTACCAGGCAGCAGATTCAGGCCTCGGTTAGCCCCGCCCACACCTGCCACTTACCTCCGCCTCCTACAGTCTCTCTCTCTGCTAAGCCCGGGTAGAGGATAGGGAGGGAAGGGCCAGGGAGTGTGCGAGCTGTGTCGGCCACATGGCGCCCCCTTGCTGCCATGGCACCCTGTGATTAACCCGATCAGCGAACATTGACTGGGTTGTGGGTGCTCAAAGACTCTTTCTTACTGTTAAACCAATAAAAACTGTTTTAATACTGAACAAAGAGATGATGTCAGGGGACTTCAGACACCATCAGGACCCCAATGTGATGAAGTGATTGTTTCCAAGAGTTGTCCCTTTAATGTGATTGTTATGATTACATCATATTTCCAAAACTTTACATTAATGTGGTTTCACTTTGTTTCAAAATCTGACACCTGGTGATTTTCTACATCCTCCAGCCTTGCTGAAGAATATGCAGACCTTATTAGTTGGCCAAGCAATAAAGTTTTTCTTGCCTCCAGATTATTATTATGTGCCCAAGCAACAACTGGATAACGTTTTGTTTTTTACAAAAACCAGTAGTGATGTCCCGAACGGTTCGCCACGAACGGTTCGCCACGGACGCATCATTGAGTAAACTTTGACCCTGTACCTCACAGTCAGCAGACACATTCCAGCCAATCAGCAGCAGACCCTCCCTCCCAGACCCTCCCACCTCTACCCTTAGCTCACTAAGAATGCAGCTTCAAAATGGATGCTGTCCAGGAGGTGGGAGGGTCTGGGAGGGAGGGTCTGCTGCTGATTGGCTGGAATGTGTCTGCTGACTGTGAGGTACAGGGTCAAAGTTTACTCAATGAGGAGTCCGCGGCGAACCGTTCGTGGCGAAGTGTTCGCGAACCGATCGCGAACCGTTCGGGACATCACTAAAAACCAGGAACTGCACTCTTCCAAGAGAGCGATTCAGGGTGCCAACAGAATCAGTGCACTACCACTAATATACAAGAGAAAAAATAAAAGGGGTTCAGGCACACCAAGGCTCATTTTCAGGCAGCTTTATTGGAACTTAGCTAACAGAGCAATGTTTTGACCGAACTTAACAATCTTTAGGGATAGGGCATTGTTAAAGGACCACTCTAGGCACCCAGACCACTTCAGCTTAATGAAGTGGTCTGGGTGCCAGGTCCAGCTAGGATTAACCCATTTTTTTTTATAAACATAGCAGTTTCAGAGAAACTGCTATGTTTATAAATGGGTTAATCCAGCCTCTAAAGCCTCTAGTGGCTGTCTCATTGACAGCGCTAGAAATGATTCTCACTGTGAAAATCACAGTGAGAACACATAATGATCATAGAAGCACATTGTAAATGCTTTCCTATAGAGACACTGAATCGCGCGTGCAGCTCTTGCCACGCGTGCGCATTCAGCCGAATGGGAGGAGAGGAGGAGGAGAGGAGGCGGAGAGCTCCCCGCCCGGCGCTGGAAAAAGGTAAGTTTTAACCCCTTTCCTCTCCCCAGAGCCGGGCGGGAGGGGGACCCTGAGGGTGGAGGCACCCTCAGGGCACTATAGTGCCAGGAAAAAGAGTATGTTTTCCTGGCACTATAGTGGTTCTTTAATCAGTATCCCCGCTGGAGTGGATTTGAAAAGTATAAGAAAGAAGAAGCAGGTAAATATGGGGGGGAAACATATTTACCTGCTTTTCTTGAGCCTGCAGAATTAGGCAAGTGTTTCATTCAAAGCTAAAGCTTTGAGTGCATGTCCTTTAACTTCAATATTGTTCAGCCAATGAATCGCAGACGCACACTTATACCACTAGATGGCTATGTCTTACAAATAAGTAAGCCTTACTTCAGTAGTGGGGAAAGTGATGGAAACCATGTTAAAGGATAGGATTGATGAACATCTAAAAACACATGGATTTCAAGATCAGAGACAACATGGGTTTACTTCAGGGAGATCATGCCAAACTAATCTTATTGATTTTTGATTGGGTAACTAAAATTATAGATCAGGGTGGTGCAGTAGACATTGCTTACCTAGATTTCAGTAAGGCTTTTGACACTGTTGCACATAGAAGGCTTATCAATAAACTGCAATCTTTAAGTTTAGATTCAAATATTGTTGAATGGGTAAGGCAGTGGCTGAGTGACAGGCAACAGAGGGTTGTAGTTAATGGAATATATTGAAGCTTGGACTTGTCAACAGTGGGGTACCTCAGGGATCTGTACTTGGACCCATTCTCTTTAATATTTTTATTAGTGATATTGCAGAAGGTCTTGATGGTAAGGTATGTGTTTTTGCTGATGATACTAAGATATGTAACAGGGTTGATGTTCCAGGAGGGATAAGCCAAATGACAAATGATTTAGGTAAACTAGAAAAATGGTCAGAATTGTGGCAAATGACATTTAATGTGGATAAGTGCAAGATAATGCATCTTGGGCGTAAAAACCCAAGGGCAGAGTACAGAATATTTGATAGAGTCCTAACCTCAACATATGAGGAAAGGGATTTAGGGGTGATTATTTCTGATGACTTAAAGGTAGGCAGACAGTGTAATAGAGCAGCAGGAAATGCTAGCAGAATGCTTGGTTGTATAGGGAGAGGTATTAGCAGTAGAAAGAGGAAGTGCTCATGCCATTATACAGAACACTGGTGAGACCTCACTTGGAGTATTGTACACAGTACTGGAGACCGTATCTTCAGAAGGATATTGATACCTTAGAGAGGGTTCAGAGAAGGGCTACTAAACTGGTTCATGGATTGCAGGATAAAACTTACCAGGAAAGGTTAAAGGATCTTAGCATGTATAGCTTGGAGGAAAGACGAGACAGGGGGGATATGATAGAAACATTTAAATATATAAAGGGAATCAATACAGTAAAGGAGGAGACTATATTTAAAAGACGAAAAAC